ACTATTGTCTGTGTCCATGAGCTATGCTTATATGCATATAAATTCCCTGGTTAATTCCCCCCCAAAAAAACTCCCACTCCCACCTTCCTTCTGAGATCCGTCAGTCTGTTCCATGCTTCTATGTCTTTGGATATATTTTGTTCATGAGTTTATTTTGTTCATTAGATTCTACATATTTGCCTGAAACCCTTTTTCCTTACAAAGCATGTGGCTGACTCGTTCACTCCTTTTTTCTTCTTTTAAAATGTTTTACTATTATTTTGAAATGAGTAAGAAAGTATTATTTCTCACACATCCATGAAGCAATTTTTCTTTTTAAAAATGAGCTATAATTCACATACAATAAAATTCACCCATTTTAAAGTGGATAATTCCATGGTTTGTAGTATATTCTGTGGATGAAAAAGGGGTTATACAGAAAGTAACCTAACAGGGTGATCTGAATATAAATTCCTAACTGGGCAGGTCATGGTGAGTAGTCAAGCTCCAGGCCTGTAACTTCTTTAGTGAAAGTTTTAGGCCAGCGCTGTTCATTGTTCTTGTGCATCTAGGTTAACACACCTTTGAAATATTACAAGTAAAACCCCTCAAAGGGGATATTAACCCTTAAGAGAACACATAGTCTTGTTAACTATTCTGTAATCTAGTCCCCACCTTGCTTTCTCCAATCTTCTTTATGTCCCCTCCTTAATTGCAAATGCACAAAGACACAAAACTTATTCTCCAGAGCATTTGATATCTTGCTTGCCAGCATATGGTACAAGGTTGACTCAAATAAACTTTTATAAAAATTCTCTACAAGTTTGGTTGTTTCTTTTGTCCACAATTCATATAGCTATACAATCATCACCACTACCTCATTTTACATCATTTTATTACCCCAAAAGAAACTGTATACCCTTTAGCTATTATCCCCTCACACCTGCCATCTCCTCCTCAGCCTTAAACAACCAACAAGCCATTGTCTCTCTCTATATATAAGCCTATTCTAGAAATTTTATATAAACAGAATAATACAAAATGTGGCCTTTTGTAACTGGCTTCTTTCTATTAAAATAATGTTTTTGAAGTTCACTCGTGTAATAGAAGTGAGTCAACATTTTTTATGGTTGAATATTATTCCATTATATCGATATACCACTTTTTGTCTATCCATTCATCATTTGATGGGCCTTTGAGCTGTTTCCACTAAAGAGGTTCAAAAGAAGTCTCCCCAGAATGTGTTACTTTGGCATGTGGAGTATCTTGAGCTAAAGACGATCAAGGCCAAAAAACTCAGGAAAAGTGTTTTGGTGTTTTTGTTGTTTTTTTTTGTTTTTTTTTTTACCTCCCTCTTAACTGCCTAAAGGAATTTCTATAGAGGGCCTGGTCTAGGAAGAGAACTATCACCAGAGATAACTACACAGAATATGTACTTGGTGTGGTGGGCTGTGGAGGAGCTGGCAGGACTTAGAAATAAAATTATTCTCTGTGTCCCATTGTCTCTGCATGACATAGAAAACATTTGCTTTTCTAACATTTGCTTTTCTCATTTCCTAAATTGTCTTTCACCCTTTTAAAGTTCAGAATCAGGCAACCTTCTCCTAACTCAGGGTGACATATAAGCCTCAATTACCTGACTACTTATAGGTCTCAAATTCTTATGAGGCCCCTGTACATAGGTAATTAAATTTGCTTCCTTCTTTCTAAACTGTCTTATGATAATTTGATTATTAGACCAGCCAAAGATACTAGAAGGTTAGAAGAAAAATATTTCCACTGCAACACCCCTTTTTGGCTATTGTGAATAATGCTGCTGTGAACATCCATGTATGAGTTTTTGTGTGGGCCTGTTTTTATTTCTTTTGGGTATATATAGACGTTACATTGCTTAGTCATATAGCAACTCCATGTTTTTGTCAGTGGACTCACTCCTATTCAGGACACTGCTCAAATGTGACCTCCTTTGAGAGCCCTTCCCTGACACTCCATCCAAAATAATCACACCACCATTGCCATTCTTCATCACCTTTACCCTATTTGGTTTTCTCATAGCCCTTACCAATGTCTAAAGTCATGTTTATTTTATTAGTTTACTTTTTTTGCCATCTGTGGCTCCACACTAGACCATTAACTGCAAGGAAAGAGGCCTTGTTGGTCTTGCTCACTGCTATTCTCTCAGCAACTAGGACAATTATCAGCAAACAGTATGAACTCAATAACTATTTGTTGACTATAGGGATGAATCTATGGCAGAAATGTTTGTTCTTTTCTTTCCCACTGCAGGGCCTACCCACAAATCTATTACTATTTTAGTGCTTTCCTATTTCCTTAATTGCTCTTCGGGAAAAGTAAAAACTTGCCCATTTAAATTATAAAAAGAAGTGGCTGTAGCCAAGAATGTGTGGATCATTTGACTTAGATTTGCACCTCCCACCCCACCCTCTGACCCCCACCCCAGGAGTTGCAGAAACAAAGCCATATGCCTTTAGTGGCAATTCCATAAGATTGCAATAGATGGGGGTGTTGAAAGAAAGAAAACTCTAGTGAGTTTTCTAGTGACAAGTGAAATGCCCAAACTTGCAGAGCTATAAATTGAGGATTTCTTCTTTGAAAAATGAGACACTCTTAAAAAATGACTAGACTTTTTCAACCTTTAGATAAAATTTATATTTTGTAACATTTACATGGTTCTAAACTAAAAAAAAATATTTCTAAGAAGAACAGTATGAGTCCATTATATCTTATCTGGGAAATGACAGATAAATTGTATGATAACCTTATTTGATCTTGTTAATCAATTATTTGGATAAAACAAATGATAGAAGTGTTGAGGAGAATGGGAGAGGGAATATTATCTGAGGGTTTTTTCCTCTCAGGTCTTAATAGAAAAATGAGATCAGAGATGTTTGAAATTGCTCATTGAATGAGATCAAGATTTGTATGAAAAATGTTTTCTTAACTTGTTTCCATTTGCCTTCATATGCCCTTGTTTGAGGATGGAGGTTTAAAAAATATCAAGATGCAGAATTTAATAGGTGTAAATTTCAAGATAACTCATTAGCATTTCAGAAAAAAACAGAGTTGCCTATATAACATTTTCATAAGCATGCTAATACCTTTCTGCAGAACTTTACATTTCAGAGATGTTTGAAATTGCTCATTGAATATGTTTAAGCCTTGAATGTGAATGAATAGTAGCCTTTGATGAAGACTAGGGGCCTGAAAGGGGGAGAGGAGGCTGTTTTCTAGAGGTTTCAAGTTGAGTGATTTCCCCAAATCTAATCACATAATCAAGTTTTAAGTAGATAGTCCCAAAGAGCAGAAGACAATCAATGACATATATAAATGCAGATAAACATCTCACAACTATTTCTTTTCTAATGCATTCCTAGTGACTATAATAATACACAAAACAGTGAGGAGCAAAACCAATTGAAGAAGGATATAGTCAGATCATTATTCATATGAAGTTTTAAAAGATGCAAAAAACTACCATATGTTGTTTATGGATGCATATGTATTTCGTAAATGTGCAAAAACTTGCTTAGGGATGAGAATCTCTACATTCAGGACCTCTACAAATAGAAGGATAAGATTAGGAAAATACACAAAAGCTACACTTGTATCTATCAGTTTTTTTGGTAAATGTTTTTGAAATATAATGTGTAAAAATAAAAGAGTACAGTTCAATAAATGTTCGCAGTGTGAGCATACTTGTATAACCAGTGCTGTGTCTGTATCTGGGTGGTGGGTATGTGAATATTGGTTATAATATTTATATTTTTCATATGCTGAAAATATTTAATTTAAATATTTTTAAAGAAAACTCCACAAGTATTAGACTATGAATTCTTTAAATTCCCTATCAGTTGTAAAGCCTATGAAAATCCAACCAAAAGTAGGATCTTAGGGCAAAATGAGTTAAAAACTATAATTACCATAAGTTATGCCATTTTTTTTTCATTTTATATCATTACTAGAGGCTCAGTGCATGAAATTCATGCATGGGAAAGGTCCCTTCAGCCCAGCCTGCACCCTCTCCAATCTGGGATCCCTTGGCGGATGTCCAGCTGCCAGTTTAGGTCCAATTCCAGGGATAGGGCCTAAACCGGCAGTCGGACATCCCTCTCACAATCCTGGAATGCTGGCTCCAAACACTCACCTACCTGCCTGCCTGGTCGCCCCTAACTGCCCTCCCCCTGCTGACCTGATAGCCCCTAACTGCCCCCCATGCCAGCCTGGTCACCCCACACAGCCTGCTTGTTCAGTCGTTTGGTCGTCCCTCACTAACCCCCCTGCTGGCCTGCTCGTAGGCAGCCATCTTGTGAGGGTGTGAGGGTTAATTTACGTATTATTTCTTTGTTATTTAGGATAATACATACTATAATGTCAGAATGTAAAGAGTTGTAATTGTTAAGGTTGCTTAAGGAGGAACGCACGAGGCCAAAAGGGGTAAAGAGTTATAAATTTATTATTACATCTACTAGCAGAAGGGCTGAGGCCAAAATGGCATCAGCAGGGCAAAGTAGGGGGAGCAAGATATTTTTGTCTCTTGTAAAGATCAGTCAGAGTAATAAGTGGGACCAGGTGCAGGTGGGGGCCAGGTGTAGGCGGTCACTGGAAACTGGGTGAGGCAGTTTACTGGAAGCCGAAGGCCGTTAATCATGAAACCTACAATGAGAATAACAGGAAAATCGCCAGGAGGGGAGAGAGCCCCAGCAGGCATTATGGAGTGCAAGAATATGCCAGTAGTGACTTGGAGCCAATGGAAGGGAATTTAATGTATACGGTGGTAGTGGTGATGGCGATGGTAGTGATGGTGGTGGGGCAGGGGGTTAGTCCTGCCCTTTTCTTTCTGTAGCCACTTCTCAGCTCAACCCTGAATTTCAACATAGCTAATAAGGAGCCTCTGTTGCAGGTTGCCAGAGAATCCTGTCTTCTACACTGTCAGGACTGCCACACAGGGAAAAGGAAAGTGGGTTCATGGTTGTTTTGGCTTGGATGCTACTGATGCTGACCTCTGCTGGCAGAAGATTCAACTTGTAGTTGACCACTTGCTGCATGCTTTTCCTGCTATCAATCTAGGCCACCCCCAATTTATAAACACCATGTGCATGTTGAAATCCATTGTTTATAGCTTGCCTGCATTATTCTATAAACACAAGCACTGTTTCACATAGTAGTTGATCCCCCAGGGTCATCCCTCCAAATCCATAAAGTAATCAAAATTTACTTATGTTTCTATGGAAAATGCTTTCAATTAAGATCAAGTGTTTACCAAGTATCTCCTATGTAAGGGGAGATAAGACATTAGCATGAGTGACAATGGGAGACAGACTATTTGAAGTGCCAGTTGGAGTGGTGCAGACGGAGAACAGTCAAGATCAAAAAGAGGAAAATACTACATTTGGGAAGGAGAAACCATGGAAGGCTTTAAGAAAGCAGTGGAGCCTGGCCAGTGTGAGTCAGTGGATGAGCATTGACCTATGAACCAGGAGGTCACAGTTTGATTCCCAGTGTGGGCTCGATCCCCAGTGGGGGGATGTGCAGGAGACAGCCGATCAATGATTCTCTCTCATCATTGATGTTTCTATTTCATTCCCTCTCCCTTCTTCTCTGAAATCAATAAAAAAATATTTTTAAAAAACAGACAGCAGTGGAATTTGACATGAATGGTGAAAGTTAAAGGGGTAGGGTGTTTCAAGGAGATGGAAGAACAGAAACAAAGGCATGGAAATTGGAAGATGTGAAATGTGCTAGGAAATGGCAAATATTGCAGAGTATTAGGGGAGAATCCAGATATGTAACTTGAAAATCCCAGACTATCCTTGGCAGCAGGAACAAAAACAACCTCTTCCTACCACCCCCTGTTTGGAAAATGACTCCTCTAGTTCAAGTAAGGCACACTAAGGGTGTTAAGATGTAGAATCCAGCAGGTTGAAGGTTGCAAATTTTTTGAAAAAGGACTCTGGGATATAGAATACGCTCGTGCACTTGGAGGAGAAGCTCTGGGTTAGGGCTGAGAAATGAGCAAGAGTTGCCCCCATTTCCTCCAATTCTGCCCCTCTTCCGCTTTCCCCTCTCCACCTCTGGCCAGCCCAAGAGACTGACACTGAAATAATAAGAGAGTGTGGTGGGAAAACTTCAGTTGTGAATA